GCCTTGCGCGAGCAGATCGACTGCTGTTCATCTGTCTAAAATAAGCTGTTCGGGTTCGCTCAGTGCAGAGTTTTGGGTTTTAAAAAAATTAATGACCTCTCGCCTCTCATTCTAAAGCCAAATTTGACGACGAAAACAAAAGTTTCTTCCATCTGAAAAGAAGCTTTTTGTAAGCGTATTTCAGGCACTATTCAGAAATTTGAATTATGATTAAAATGTATGTAAAAATTAGCTACAGCTTCACTCTTATATCTTTGTTCACACTAGTAGGGTATCTCTGTTCACAAAGTATGCGTTATTTCGAAGAGGGCGCCAACGGATTTTGAGGACGCTCTTTTTAAATAGTCTCGATGAGAGGGGTGAACCATCTTGTTAAGTACGATCTTTCGCGTGCTTCTTCCAATTTGATCCGGAAGTAAAAACAGAGAAAGCTTTAAAATGTACCTGTGGAGGCCGGGAAACTTGATGCAGAGGTCACTTCCGTCGCCGCGTGGCGATGTTGTACACCAACCGTACCGTTCCAGTTCAGAACACAGCCACGTTTTCTCAAATGATTGATTCAAATTCAAGCACCGACTACCTCATATCGTCTTTGCTGTGCTAATTACTTTCTTACTTGGTTACTTGGTTGGAGAAGGGGTATCATCGCTGGAGGTACAATGCAATAGCTTCTTCTCCCTCCCCTCCAGGATCCATGAATGTGTTGGCTTGCTGGTGGTGCCAGAGGTCATCTGGTTGGACATTCTTCTGGCTTTTCCACGCCGGCTGCTGTCTTTCCCCAACCCTCTCTAGATTCTTGTTGAAAGGTTCCTAAATATCAGAGACATGAGAAATTTCAATAGCTTTCTATCAGTTTCTCCCCAAGCCAACCTCGTCCACTATCCTGTTCCATGCTCTAAGAAAAAAAATCTGACTTTGACCTTGCGATGTCACGTGACTTGTAGACTACAAGCCTCGTGATTGGCAATTCTCAATAGACGGTACGACCCATGCGACTCGTGAACTTGAAATATAAACATGATTGGGTTTTAATGATTCGATCACAGAGTGCGAAAAACCAACGGTAGGCAGAATTCGCAAGCCACTCAATTGTCACTGTAATCACTTGTTTCTCGCCAAAGATGACTCTCTCCTAGAATAACAACGCACAACGAACAGATAAAATTGTCGGTTCTTATAACTAAATGGAACCAGGTTAAAGAAAAAATATTATTCGAAGAACTCGTTGAAAGTCACGAACATTGGCAGTCCCTTAGAAGAAGTAAATTGTAGTAGCATTTGTACGTACTTCCGTTTCGTTTCGTCCCCACGAGAGCTCACTCTCTCTCTCTCTCTCTCTCTCTCTCTCTCTCTCTCT